ATCAGAGTAACTGATTCACTCTTGAGCTTGGAGATTCTGCCTGTTTCAAGGCACTCAGTCTGCAGTTTCTTGTGACTTTGATCCCAGTGGGAACCATGCCCTTAATTCAGAAAGTTTGTTGCTCTGGGCTATGGACTATGAATGGGGTCCTTTTCAGGTTGCAATGAAGTGAAGGAGCCAGAGTAGAAAGGTAAGAAGCTGGGCTCTGTTCTCCATGGGACTCATTTCTTGACTCATCCCCTTTCCTGTCTCTCAGCTCTGTGCTATGTAAGGGTCCTCTCTTGGTGGTTAAATATTTTATGTGATGTTTGAAACCACTGCTCACTTTGCCCTTCTCAGGTATTGGATAATTCCAATCTCTAATTTAAAAATAAAATATTTCTTTAGATTGGGTTTTGGTCTACAGGTAGAGATAAGAAAGATGACCTGTAAGAACAAGTAACAGGAGATACCGGTATTGTAGGGCTTGATTTTACTTTTTGGACTGGGATGGCCAAAAGGCTGGTGAAAATCATTGAATAAAACTTCCCACACTGGAGTAGCGCAGGGAATGCTCTTGAAGCAGCTTAGAGGCCTCAGTCTCTTCTGGAGGACAGTTTGTATTTTCCCAATAATTTGCTGTTTCATTGGCTTGCCTGTCAACTGTGCTCCTGTAGTGAGGCCACCAGGATCTTGCTTCATCATTTAAAGTCCTGTGTATACTAGAGTTGTCTAGGTAATGGTGTGCCGGTTACTGTTTAAAGACTAGATCTCTGAGAGGTAAAAGCCTAGTTAATAACACTTGTCAATTTCTGTGGTATAAATGCTACCCTCAGTGTCAATTTCAAGCCATGTCGCTAAATGTGGAGTTGGTAGATGTGCTGTAGGACATCATTATATAATGTGCTCACCATATAAATATGACAGATGGAAATAACCTCTAGAGCACAGAAAACAAATAAGTAGTGAAATAATTAGGAAGTGATGAGTTTTGAGTATTATCTTTGTTTTATAACTTATTTAATTGCAAATGTATACAATTTAATTTTTAGTAATGGCTGTGTTTAACATTTGTCTCATAAACATCTTTTAAAAATTTAACAACTGGTATACAAGCCACTGTTAGCACACCACTCTGTCTTGGGCTGGGAAAAGAGGGAGAAAAGGAGAAATAAAAGAGCACATTTAATATTAAAGTACTAAAAGTACAGTCTATGCCATTCAGACTGTAAGATGATCCTTCTTGGCCTTGGTTCCATGAATTCATTGAAATGACATAGTTGGTATTGTCCAGAAGCCTGGAATCAGAGCTAGATATACTGGGTTTCAGGCTTGGCTCTACCATTTGTTACCTGTGCAAGCTTAAATAAGTGTCTAAGCTCTCTTAGCTTAAGTTTCTTGTGGATACAATAACGTACTTTCATCATAAGGTTGTTATGGGAATTAAATAAGATAATATATTCCAAGTAGTTAGCCCACTGGGTCACATAGTAAACCCTCAGTAATGGTATCCACGAGTATTGCTATTATTATTCGCCTGATCTATTTCTAAGCTGTCCACAGTAATTGCAATGATAGGATCTATCGCAGGTGCAAGATCACACAGAGACTGATTGTTAGAGACAATCTTCTTTGTGTAGCCTGACCTTCATTTCTGCAACAACCATTTGTGTGGGGTCAGGTGCAGGGGCAGAAATGTCCTTCTCTCCACACCTCCTGAAAAAATTGCCCTCAAGCTCAGGTGCCTAAAGCTCAAATACTGGTCACTCACTTCTTGCTGTTAAGTAAACTCCTTGGTGCACCATTAAGGCAGCACCTGAATGGAATGGAATGAGGCAGCCAGTTCCCAGGGCTCTGAGAGTCTAGAATGAGGAGCTTGGAGTGGGTGATCAGATACATGAGGGTTCCCACACTCCTCAAACGCCTTTCTATCCCCACTCCCCGCTCCCTGCTTCCAAGTAGAGTACTTATTTGAGCTGTGATGCCTCTAAAAGCAAATCTGTCTGTCTGCTTCCCCAAGTACCCAGGATCAAGACCCAGCTGACCCGCAGGCCCACAGTCCGCTATTGAGGTGGAAACATTGCTGAATGTTTTGGGTCAGACTTCTTATTGAAGGAACACCAAGTTTGTGGTTGATTTAGTTCTAGTCGTGGTCCCAACCACTTGATATGCAACTTTGGAAAGGTCATTCAATGTCTCTGAAACTTTACTTTTTTTTAGTATCCTGAGGATACTAATGAGATTAACCTGAGATTCAAACGTGGGAGCCCTTTATGACTGTAAAGTTCAACACAATGTGCTTAGTTGGTACCAATCTCTGCTCCTGTTCTTGAAACCAGTCTCTCTGTCTCTGCTCATTGTTTTCATTGGCTCCTTTTGCTTCCATTCTTCACACGTGGATATAGAAAGAGGCCTTCTTGACAGCACCATAGATGGACAAAAATAACGCACTCCTACCCTTCATGCGAAAAGTTTCTAGTAATCAAAACTATGGATTCCTAGCTAGGATCACTTATTCATAATACAAACTTGGGAGCAATAGCAATAATGTGAAGTTATTCCCAGTTTGGCTCAGGTAACTTGGCACAACAGGAAGGCAGAGGTAATGTTTGCAGGAGTCCTAAGGCTCCATGAACACTAGGCTCTAATTGAGGTTTTGTTTGTTTATTTATCTGGGCACCTGGGATGCTACACAAATTCTATAAAAGTGGTTGAGTAGCAGAAACCGGGGAGGACCTGTGGATTCTGGGGAAGCAACTTGCAGCCAAGGGGGTCTTAGGTTCCAGGTGAGGGCCTGGGAGAAAGCAAGGAGCCAGGTGAGCCAGTCTCTTCTTGCTGATCAACTGGCCCAGTTTGCTCCTATTCTTGACCCTCTGTATGGTTTGAGGGGGGCAGCTGGTGCCTGGTAGGATGTTCTGACTCAGCTAAGAGAAAGGAGGTTGTAATCTGATGCTTACCTTCATCAATGACACAATATTTATTGGTCCCTTACAGCTCTAAAAGAAGGAACCTCAGCCCCAGGGTCCTAGCAATCACTGTACGACTAAAGGGGACTTCATTATTAAATCTTCTATTGACTGGCACCACCCTTCAGGTGCTTGCGGTGTGGGTTGGTGACACAGGTGGCTAGACTCATAGTCAGCAAACTGCAGCTCGCAAGCCACATGCAGCTCTTTGGCCCCTTGAGTGTGGCTCTTCCACAAAATACCACGGCCTGGGCGAGTCTATTTTGAAGAAGTGGTGTTAGAAGAAGTTTAAGTTGAAAAAAATTTGGCTCTCAAAAGAAATTTCAATCATTGTAGTGTTGATATTTGGCTCTTTCGACTAATGAGTTTGCTGACCACTGGGCTAGAGGATTGCCTGGTCATTAAGGGAAGGGCGTTTTTGTGTTTCAGGGTTGATTATTTTTGGCGGGGAAAAGCTTGCTGGTGGCCAGCCAGGGCAAGCTGCCTGAAACTAAGTGCTCACTTGGAGGCCCGCCAGGATCCAGCCAAGGGGCTGAGTGAGGGAGTGAGGCAGAAAGCAGCATCGGCTGGCGATAGGCCCACTTGGTTCTGATGAGCGTGGTGTGGGGGTTGGCGCCATGCTTCTTCGGCGACTGGAGAGTGGCCAAGGGGAGAGCAAAAATGACAAAAAGGAGGGAGAAGAGGGCCTATGGGGAAAGATTACAGATAGTCCACCTCAAGATTACAGAAAGATTACAGAAAGTCCATTACAGAAGAGACCAAGTTGACTAAACATGCTATTCTCTTCAAATATATGACAGATTTCAATAAGATGTTGACAAATTGTTCTAACAGCCAATCAGAGAAAGCCATCTCATAGAGGCAACGTGGAGTTCCTCCAGGCTGCAGCACGGTGCCGAATGCACACTTGCCCAGTGATAACATCTGTGTGCCGAATGAGGTTCTCAGAGCAACTGGCAAAGTAAGGGAAGGAAAGCGGACCCTCCCTGGTGCATGAGGACCTGGGCCAGCCCTCCAGGCCCAGGATTGGGGCACAGCTCCACGCTCCTCATATCTGATGGTGAGTTGAGGTTCTGTTCTGGTTTATAAGGTACCACGAGCACAGTGGGTTCTTTGCGTGATACCAAGGTGCTCAGCGCTAGTGAAAGGACTGATGGATTTTTAATTTGATACTGAAACTTTGAGGAGAGAACACCTTCCCAGAGGTGGGAGATTAATTTTATCCGTGTTTTTTTCAGCTTCTTCTCTTTCCCCACATCTTGCCCATCTTTATTTCTTTCTTTTTTTTTTTACTGCTCAGAGGAGGGCGAAGAGGTTTTCAAGAAAGCACCAGAAACGTGAGGACTTTGATTCCAGAGCAGGAAAGGATGGCACAGGCCGAGAGCAAGCCCGCAGCAGCCTGCCAATGAGGGCTCCCTGTCTGCCCCTGCCCTGAGCCCTGGGACCAACCAGAAGACTCATCGTGGGATAGAGCCTGCAGCCCGGGGCCCTGCCTGGCCAGCAGCAGAGCTCTGACCCTGAGGCTGTGTCGGCTTGGTCTGAACTACGTCTCTGAACTGGCCCGGTCCCTTCCCAACCAGCTGTTCTCACACACTTCAGAGTTAGCGCTCCCTGACATGGACTGAAAAGAGAAGGGAGAAATGGTCTGGATACCAACTCTCTTTTCAACCCCAACAGTCTGCTTTGTGGTCTGGGTGAATTTTGCTCATTTTGGAAGCCATGGAGAAGGGAATTGGGGTGGGGGGTAATAATAATCATTCCGATTTAATAAAAATGATCTGTAAAACTATTCCAACTAATCAGGACAAACATTACACCAAGATCTTGAATCACAGGATGTTTACATAATATAATGCCCAAGGCAGACAACTACTAGACACCACTAAGTACCTGAAACAAAAAAAAAAAAAAACAAAACAAAACAAAAAAACAAGGAAAGAAAAAAGGGAGGCAGGGAGGGAAGAAGAATAAATAGGAATTTGGAGATCCGGAGGGCACAAGCAGAGTTCCTTGGAGGAGGGGTGGCTGAGTGTGAGCCTCCGGTGGCCTCTCACTTCACATCTCGGCGTCTGAGGAGCAGCCCTCTGTGGCAGTGATGGCGATGCCGATGGCAAGGCTGCCGTTGTCGGAGAAGAGCTGTGCCAGCGAGGTGTTGAGGACGAGGCAGTCCCCGTCGGTGATCACCGAGTCCACACACTCGAGCACGGACCTGGGGGTGGCCTCCCACTTGAGGCGCCGGTGGTTCCTGTTGAGCTCCAGGCGGTAGGTGAAGCAGTCGGCCTGGGTGGGGGTCCCGATCAGCATCATGGTGGCAAAGAACTGGGGGTGCCCTTCGTGCCTCTCCTGCTTCCTGAGCACCAGCAGGAAGTGGTGGCCCAGGCAAGCGTGCACGATGATCCAGTCCGCGGGGGCGGGGAGGTGCATGTCCGTGGCCAGGAAGACGATCTCGGCTCCCTGCAGGATATCCACCCTGTGCGTCTGCCGCAGGTGGGGCACCACCACCTCCAGGCGGCCTTCCCACGGGCAGGAGGACAGGGGGCAGGTGCAGGGCGTCACCCGGCTGGCACGCAGCTCGGCCTGCTGGTGGTGGAGGTGGTGCGGGTGGGCGTGGTGGCGCAGGTGGCGGTGCCCGTGGTGATGGCGGTGGCGGTGGGCCAGGGGGTGGTGGGGGCAGCCATCTGGCTCCGGTGCGCTCTGAGTGACGGCGCGGCAGTTGGACACATACTGTGGGACGAAGAGAAGGCTGTTAGTTGGGTCAGTTAGTGTGAGGTCAGTCTGCCAGCCTGGCAGAGACTCCCTGGTGTCCAGGGTGGTACAAGCAGGCTCTCCAGTGCAGGGAGAGAAAACTCTGTTTCTTACAGAATGAGAGCTGCGGGACTCTTACCCAAAGGGGCAGCTCTGTTTTACACCCCCATCAGCATGTAAGAGAATTCCAGGTTCTCCACATCCTTGCCAACACTTGTTATCTGTTTTGACAAATACTTGGGGACAAAATTGTTTTTGAATGTTTTGCCAAATTTAGATGCTGAAATATTGTTAAGTCCTTTCTGTCATTTCATTTCGGTACAAAACCTAAATTTTTACCCAATTAAAAAATAGAAGGTCCTTCAAAAGATTCCTCCTACAAGAAGACATTTTCCAAATATAATGGAACATTTTAAAAAGTCTAGAAAGATAAATGAGGGACACGGTGAATGCTTTGCATGATTGATATTCTACAAACGCAGTCCAGAAAATGCACTAGTTATGCCTTTCTGATTCTTTAATAAGATACTCAAACAGATAGGAAGTTTTCTCCCGAACATGCAGTGTGATGGTCTTTAGTTATAGAAAACAAAAACAACAACAACAAAAAACCTTTCTTTTTGCTTTTTTGATACTGTTGATGCTTATGTGCAGGCACTGGAGGTCAATGGATTATTGCCCCTATTTTATTATTGCTAGTATTTTAAAAACAAAATGTTGGCAAGTTCCCACTTGTCCTTCCAATGATATCCCGGGTGGTGCTGTTTTGGGTGCCCTCCTCATGGTTTCCAAGGTAACTGGTGGGACGCAGAGCTGGTCTTATGCAACCGAACAAGGTCCCCAGAGAGGAAGCCTGGCCGGGACTGCGGGGATCCCTGGGACTCTGCCCCTAGGCACACTCTGCTCTGTCCCAGGCGCACAGCTTCCCAGACCCTCTCCACCAGGCAGCCTCCTCCCTCAGGCTCTCCTAACCTTGTGTTTCTCACAGTAGTGTCCCCCAAATGCCCTTAAAACCTCGGAGCCATGACGGTACCTTCTGCTCAGGTCTGAGTAAACGTTTACTGAGCACCTGCAATGGCCAGACCCTGGGGGGCCGGGAGCACAGCCACGAGCAAAATACATAGCATGTTTCTTGGTGTGGGGAGTGCAGACATTAGTGTGCATATGATAACTGCTGTTTTCACAAGGGTCCTCCCTGTGACATGAGGACTGTAATTCATTTTTTTCAGGTGAAGAAACAGGCTTCCTGTAGGAATGTGCCTGGGATTACAAAGCTGGTAATTGAAAGACAGATTCATTTGTCACACCTCCTAACTCTGAGCACAGCAACATCCCTGCCCCTCCTCCATCCCTTTAGTTCTTTCTTATTAACTTAATTAGCCTGCAGGACCTGGGCTGCTGAATGGAGGTGGCAGCTCTGCGGGAGCGCTCCAAGCAGGAGGCCGTCACAGGACTGCCTTCCCCTGGGTGCCCTGAGGGAGAGGGTGGCCTTCTGCCCTAGCTCTCCAAGCTCCTCCTGGACCTCAGTGCCTCTGGGCACTTAACCCTCCCCTGGCTTTAGTGTATAGAGGACAAGCACTGCCCACGTTTGTCTCCCTGGACCAGACCCAGAGAGTGGCCAACAGCTGAGGTGTCTAGCTAGCTTCTCTTTCATCAGGGCATGCAGTGGACACACACACACACACACACACACACACACACACACACACACACACACGGTGTGCTGAGATGACCACCCTGGTGGTGGAGGTGACCTATAAGCAAGTAGGGACTGGCTAGCACTGTCTCCAGTTGTTCGCCCAGCTGCCAGTTTCTGCGTCTCTCCTGGGAATGCTGCCAACCCAGAGAGCGAGCTACGGTGCTCCTGCCCTGTCCCTGGATAGCGGCTACTGGGCAGTCTGCTGTCACCAACCTGCACACCCACCAGGCCCAGGAAGGAGCAGGCTGTGTCCAAGAATCCTCCTAACACTCAACCACTGGGGATGTGCCCGCAACCAAGGTACATGCCCTTTTGATAGGAATTGAACCTGGGACCCTTCAGTCTGCAGACTAATGCTCTACCCACTGAGCCAAACTGGCTAGGGCTCACACTTAGTCTTTACAACAACCAGGAAAGAAACATATTGTGTTTGTCTTATTGATGAAGAAACTGATATACAGAGAGGTTGAGTCACATGACCAAGGTCACAAAGCTTATAAGGGGTGCAGCTGGGGATGGAGCCAGATCAGTTAAAGGTGATATAGGTCATAGACCAGGAAGATCACAGCCTGAAAGTAGACTCTGGTTGTTTTGTATGTTTTTTTTCACAGTTTACTTGTCCAGCGGTGTTGAATAAGTCAGTTTGCCCATCAGCAAATTATTTATTTCAAAGGGTTATTAGGGAATCAAATGAAATAATGCCTTTAAAACAACATCAAGTATTTATCAAACAGCTTTAAAACCACATCAAGTATTACATCAAGAGAGCATTTCCATAGAGAGGGGCTTTGGGATAAAGACTCCGCGGCCTTCTGCCTCAGTCCATGCCTACTTGTGTCTATCCTGGTGAGCCGAGCTTTGCCCCTGGGCAGTATTCCGGGCTGAGAACAGGCCAATATGGGGGTCTGGAGACCCCAACAGTGCACTGGGCCGGGGCCTATTCTCCCAAAGCTGAGCCATGATGACAAACCTTCTGAAATTCCCATCTCAGAAACAATCTCTGGGTGAACTATTTTCAACATGTCCTTTTCCAGACCCCTTTTCCATCTTCTCCATCCTGTTCTGTGTGGCTAAATTTTGAGATGTGAAATCAAAGCAAGGAGGCGTGGGAAAGAGATATCTAGATCCTCCTTTCTTCCCAGCCTCCAAATTCTCGCCAGGGTCTCCCATTGGCCGAACCCAAGCAGAACCCAGAGATATGCCCTCAGCAAGGGTCAGCTCCCTTTGGAAGTGGTCTGGGTGAAGAGGGAATCCCTACCTGCTATGCAAATGTCGCCATTCCTTCCTCTGTGATGTTTGCTGATCTGACCAAGCTGGCCCTCCTAGGCTGAGATTTGATCGGTTGAGGGAGGAGTGGGAAGGGTAGAATTCCTACCTACAATTCACTTGGCCACTTGACAAACGTGTATACACCACCTACTATTTGCAACAGGCTGAGAATGCTAAGCAGAATAAGATCCTTGTTCTGGCCCCAGTAACTCAATGTAATTATAATGTGTTTCCCCCAAAATAAGACATCCTCCGAAAATAAGACCTAGCGCATGGAAAGATAAGACATCCCCTGAAAATAAGACCTAGTGCAACTTCGGGAGAAAAAATTAATATAAGACACTGTCTTATTTTCGGGGAAACGGGTATATCATAGAATAGAATACAAAAATTCAGGATGCAGTGGGCTCTGACTGCAAATGAGGGAGATAGCTATTCTAGTCGGTGCAAAGCATGAGTGATGAATGCTCTAACAGAACAGGCAAAAGGGTTTGCTGACAAGATGAATAGCAAGTTAGAAGGAGCCGGGTTTAAAAGAACATGGGATAGTGAAGAAAAGACAAGTCCCATGTAATTAGTAGATGGAGGGCCTGGGGGGGGGGGTGGAGAGGAATTGGGCCATGGTGCTGGAGAGCAGGCGGACCATTTTGCCCAAAATTGTAACCTGAGCTGAGGCGCCAAGGTGGCACCCGGTCCTGGTTCTGATGGAAGTCAGTAGGAGGGCCCAAGAGATACAACTTCCTGCGTTAGGGGGCTCCTGCAGGCAGCCCCAGCAGGGCCAGCTCCAAGCTGGTTCTCAGGATGGGGCCAGCCATCAGTCCCCCACACTGGTTCAATCATCGGACCCTGGCAAAGGGCACTGCACCTAGGCTGTCCCATGGTTTCCGTTAGGCCTCACCTTCCACCAGCCGGTTCATTTTTTAATTGCTGCCGGGTAACAGAGCACCAGGGGTGTAATCTAAAGTGACAGAAGTCAATGACTGTGCAAATAGAGCGAGACATTATAAACTCCAGGAGAACTGGGTGCTTGCTGTGCCCCAGGAAGATGCTAAGAATAAAAACAGGCTTATTCTTCATTTCTTCCCGCTCCATTTTCTGATGCTAAATACGTTTCATTTAAATGATCTTTGTGTGAGCGGAGGTCACAGGGCTGCTGGTAGGGAGAAGGAATTCTTTTAATTGGCAAAATGCTAATCGCTTTGGAAAGTGAATTCTAATCTTTCCATCTAATACAGTGGATGTGTGAGTAATTACTTTCCTTCACTAAACTGTTAGTGCAACATTAGTGATTACGCTAATTAAAACTAATGAACTCTTACAGGCTGATAAACCCCAGTCAGTTCACAGACGCCTTCCCTCCCATTTGGAAGAAAGATCTTGAATTAACCTTTAGAGCATTGTGCAAAATTGGGTTTAAAAATGTTAGGCTTTATGGACTGCATATAATTCTTTCCCCAAGCATTAGTGAGACCATTTCCACTGAGGGTGTAATTGAATTTAAAAACACTTCCTTAATTGGATCAGCCACACTCCCATGGTTGGTAATGACCATCTCTCTAAATCCTGGCGTCCAAAGGCGAAACCTGCCCCGGAAAATCACGTGGCCTTTTCTCGGGCGTCTGCTCCCAGTATTTAGCGGACAGCTTTGCCCTTCCACTTGTTTCCAGGAACACGGTGATGCGAACGCATCCCAGCTGAAGGAGGATTTTTGTACCCAATGTCAAACGAAGGACATTTGCTCTGAGTTTTCTCAGGCCTTATTTGTGAGAGTTAATTAACTGGGGTTTTCAGTGCTGGGAGAAAGGGGAAAGGCAGCGATGCATTTTACACCCCGAGAGGAAGAGCAAGTACGTGGGGTACTATTTCTGATAGATTAAATAGAGAAGGTAGCCAGAGATCCGGCGGCAGGACACACACAGGCTTTATTGGAGGGAAGAGTACCCCTGCTGGCTGCTTCCAGAGAGAGGGGGGCGGAAGAGAGAGAGGGCCGGGGTATAGGCACCTTTAAGGA